GGTGATAGTCGGTGGGAGGCGGAGACTGTCACGAATCTTAAGCTCCATTCATCAACGAATAATTCCTGGTTGTATCCTTGTCAACTGACGTTACATAATTCGCTGATGATACTAACAAGTGGTTTTTATAACGTTCCACATTTGGAAGAACTACGAAATATATCTTGTATGTTCACGACTAATAAAACGAAAAAGAATCAAAAGAGAGATCTAATGAAACGACATGACAGAATTAAAAAAAGAATGATTGCGTTTTTTTGTCGAATTCATGGAATAGTTATTTTTCTAAGTCAACACGATTATGTTTTTGTTATAAATATTAATGTCTAGGGAATTCTAACAAATGCTAACGTTATGAACAAGTGCTAACAATTTTTTTCCTTAAAATTTGCAATTTCAGCGTCTACATGTTGTGTAAATATACGTTTCCATTTTTGACAGAAATGCGTCATTTTTTGGAAATAACATAATTTTACAAAAATTGTTTATGTCGTAGAAATATTCATGAATGATATAATAGTTTCATTTTGTTATCGTCATCTGAAGCAATTCTTCAAATTTTTACAAACGTTCGATTTTATAAATCGTTTGTTATTGATAGATTGAAAGATAAATTTAAAAAATTGATTAATATAAAAAAAATGTTCAGGTTTCAAAATGCAAAATAGTCATAGTGCATCAACTGTATTTATTATTATAACAATACAATAACAATAATCTGTACATTCTAATTTTATATGTATCCCCTATTTTAATCCTGTAATTACATTCCGTATTTTTTAAAATAATTCTATAATTGTAATATTTATACAAAATGCAATATATTCGTTTAATTATGTTCTGTGCATATTCGAGGTTAATTATAAGAATAATCATCGATTGAGAATTTTCAAATGATAATCTTCTTCTTTTATCAACGTTTTAATTGAAAAAAAGATCAACTTAATCATAGAATCATGAATGATTTAACAATTTATCGAATGATAATTAAATATATTATAACGGACGGGTTTGGCAGCACTGTCGCGAAATGGAATAATTCAGTGCATTTTATAGTCATATGTTTTCTGTCATGAAAGAGTGCTGTCAAATTTAGTGTCATTCGTGAATATTCTTTAAGTGCAAAGACAAAGTTCATCATAAGTGATTCTCCATTACACGACGAGCCATTCTCCAAACAATTTTGCATTTACGTTGTTGTACTTCGAGAGAAACGTAACCTACCTTTCAAATTGCCCACGAATTTGCTTCTCATTACGTTACCACAAACTATAACACGTTTAACGAGGTACCTTGTTGATAGACACGTTGCAAAACTTGATAAATCGATACTGAGAGTCACCACGTGAAACGCACAATTTCTTGAGAGTACTTTAATGTAAGGCTATCAAGAGGTATTACACTGATCTGAGAGTTGATTCAAGAGAGATTCACAGAATAGTTATACGAAGAAACATATTTTAGAATACAACAAAAGAAAGTGTCTGAATAAAAAATTTTGAATATGAATAGAGTAGCAAATAGTGCAACAGCAAGACTGAAGCAAGATTATGTGCGTCTTAAAAAAGACCCTATACCATACGTTGTGGCAGAGCCGGTCCCCTCGAATATATTAGAATGGTATGTGCTTTAAATATTTTCATGTACTGTTAAAGTATCCTGTATGTATTATGTCATATACTTTTGTTACAGGCACTATGTAGTAAAAGGTCCAGAGAAAACTCCTTATGAAGGAGGATATTATCATGGAAAGCTTGTATTTCCTGGGGAATTTCCATTTCAGCCTCCTAGTATTTATATGATTACTCCAAATGGGAGGTTTAGTGTCAATACAAGATTATGTTTATCTATTTCTGATTTTCACCCTGATACGTGGAATCCAGCATGGAGCGTATCCACTATTCTTACAGGATTACTTAGTTTTATGGTGTGTAATTAAATACTAGTTTAATTATAATATTCAATAAGCTAATAATAATTTTTTTGATAGATTGAAAAAAGTCCTACCACAGGTAGCATCAAAACATCAGATTTCGAGAAGAAACAATTTGCTGAAAAGAGTTTGGAATTCAATTTAAAGGACAAGATGTTCTGTGAACTTTTCCCAGAAACTGTTGAGGTATTACTAATGTTTTATATGTGTGTATTTCATTAAAATCTACCAAATGATTAACAAAAAACATTGGTATGTTGTAGATTATAAAAGCAGAATTGAAGCACAGGAAAGAATTAGAAATACAGGCAAAAAGTCAGAATACAGCTTCTGAAGTTTCATCCTTAATACGCAACCAGCTGCAGAGGGATCAGAGTCCTCTACACAGTGCATTACACAATCTCATTGTCATCATAGGATTTGCAGTATTTGCTTATACAGTGAAATATGTATTGTGGAGCGTTACTATGGAATAAGTGAAAAAAATGAATGCCCAGCATTCGTCTTTGTTCTTTAGATAAAATAATGGATACAAGAAAGTTGTGATAACGATGCGTGCAGATCTTGAAGAAAGGTGTTGAAAACTCCTGACTGGGACACAGACACTTACAGCACAATTGTGATCTGTTTGCCCCTAGTCCTGTCGAACCTGTGTGGTACTATTCAACCTCTTGGTTTTCGAGTACACTAGTATACCATGGGTGTTTGTTAGATTTTTATATCAAGGTTACTTGTAAAATACGAGTTGTACTATATTTGCAAATTTTAATCAGGATATTCGCAAAGCAAGGGGTAACAATTCTGTGGAGAGTTCTACCTGTGAGCGTTTATCATCAGAAGCAGTGTCAATAAGTTTTATTATCTAGTTGTCAGAGAGTTTAAGATTGTTGACTGAGTCAGATTATTTCGGGCTAACACCATTGGCTTTGAATCGAGTTCTGTTACGCGAATTTCCAAAGCATAGTTCAATCGTCGAACTATATACACTTAGCAATTATTTGGTAAATTATGTACATGAAAGAGAGAGAGAGAGAGAGAGAGAGCGAGCGAGTGAGAGAGAGAGAGAGAGAATGCATGAAAGGAATACATTAATAATAAAAAAAATCGTAGGGGCTTCCCACAAATTCAGTGAAAATCAAATATAACCTTGCCACAGTTTTCATACTCATTTTCCAATTTTCTTTTTCATATCTATAACAGACTCTGTCCCATGATATACTATGATCGTCCAAGACGGGAAGAAATTGCCCTAAACGTGCTCAAAAAAACATTTGCTACTGTGACATGTAAATGTGAAAACTAAGTCAAAATTTCTAACTGAATTGGACTAAGTTTAGTAGAGAGTAGAGTGAAAACCATATCGATTTTGAAAAATTCATGTAATAAACATAGTAAGATGTATGTACTTAATACTAATATTTGTTGATCAAATTGATCATTGATGTCAATATTTGTTGATCAAATGGATCGTCCTCGAGAAAGTTTTTAGGGAGATGCATATGTACATATTGGAAATTTTGCCCCTGTGAATGTATGTTGCATGACCTCAGCTTTCTGAGACGTATTTTGTTTCATTTCTTTCCCTTGCTTACTCTACTCGATATAGTATTTTTCTTCCATTGCCTGTTAAAATAATAAAAAGAACTACCAATTTAACTACAAATCACGGATTAACATGTTATATTACACTGTACCGAACAATTAACGATTAATAATGTCTAACAATAATATTAATGAGAACAGAACTGAAATTCTGATGAATCGATATTTATGTTAAGAGACTGTGTCGGTTTTATTTATGAATTAAAAGCAATGTAATAATTTTTTTACTTAAAATGAACTACTTCCTTTTTGTTTCTTTGTTATTCGAATTAAAATGAAATTCGAAAATCGGAAAAAGGAATTGAGATGAACTTTCCGCGCGCTTTTTGATGATGTAATGCATCGCCATCTTGAATTGGGATTCGTTTGAAAGTGATCTTCACGTTCCAACAAATATTTTCACGAATATTACTTTATTTTTACAGGAGAAGCATAGTTTTATCTTCGAAATAAGTAAGTTTCAATTAATTATAAATTGAGAAGAAAGCTATAATTTTTTCAAGTATTAGCCACGTCAATTAATATCGTCTTTTATTTCTCAGTTTCCATGAAAACGTTACACTTGTACATTTATTCATATACATATGTATGCGAAGTACTGTCATCATTGTACCAATTAAACATGTAAATAAATACAAAAATGCGTGAGAAACACAGTTACCGGATGACTGACACAAAATCGCAGTTTTAAACTGTAATTCAGATCAACAAACACAGATGTCGGCAGTATTCACGAAAACATAGTAATGATTTTCAAAACTCCTATTTTTTCGTTACATAATTAACGCTTTTATGTACCGTCTTTTTTCTTTATATGCACGTACACAATATATATTACAATTAATTAAACTGTAAATGTGAAATTTTTTGGATTTATGGTGTACCACACGGCGATAATGTAATTTGATTCGATTTGCGTGGTCATGGTATCGAATATGGAGGGAAGTGTAATATGTGACCAAATCCAAAGAATAGTTTCTTGTATTTTCAATCCCTATAGTTTCTCCCGAGTGAGTAACAATGAAAATCATTATTAAAATACAATAATTTCGAGTGCTTTCGTAGTATTTATTTTCAAATGGATTCTCGATATGTTTGTAAGTACTTAATTCTAGTGCTTACCACCTTTCGATTCACCTGACGTGTTTCACAATCTTGATTCGATCGTGATATGTGTGTACGGTGTGTTTATGACGCGTATTTAAAGAACCATTCACAGTTTATCGATCGGAAAGGAAGAAAGGGAACGGGAGCAGTTGTGGTTTACCGTGACGATAAACAGTTAGAATTTTCTTTGAATGCCCTCTTGTCCGAATGCGCTCGGGAGGAAGGATGCATCCTGTGGAGGCGCCTTTAGCTTTCTTACCGATTCTGTGTTTACTTGTTCCTGACTCCGAAGCCGCATACCGCGGATTTAAGCGACGATGAGTGAATTTCAACTGGAATTATGACAATTTTATTAATGAATAATCGAGCACTTGAGTAAGTTCGAATATTTAACTGAACTACATATTAGGAAAATCTGAGTCCAAAACATTAGCCCCTATTGAAGAATAACGTGAGACAGTTCAAGTCCGAAATCAGGCAGGTTTCGGTGCCTAGAATTGGGATGAAATTTCTGATTTTGAACAAGAGTTGTAAGACGTGATTGTTACTGAATATTTAGTTATAATTTTCAGCGAAGCTTAATAACTCAAATTTTATTAAAATAGACGTAGGATATTGCAGGCTGAAATTTTTAATTTACTAGGTGTTAGGTGATTCCACATCTGTTCCAGAAGCTGCTTGTGCACCAATTCCACGAGGATCCACCTTAATCTAAGAAAACACGCCGCAAAAGAAACAAACGGTAATTTATTTGACCACGAAATAACAAGGAAGTCGCGTATAGGTTCTTCCTCTGTTGGTCACAATCCTAACCTCCCCTTGTCCGACCCCTTTCCGCTTGGAGACCGCCCTCGGGAGTAAATCATCGAACCAGGCGCCAGGGATACTTTGGTCTCGCCTGAAATCCTGCGAAAATAAGACACACATGTCTCGTGAAGTATCACCATTCCTTTCACACTAGATCTACAAATTCATAACTAAAATTCCAGTACGTCGGTAGATTTCTATCCGAGAAACGCAATTTTTTCTTATTGTGTGTTTGATTTTGCAGATATACTTAGTAACAGAAGATGTTAATTGTTATTCAGTATGTGGAGAGTGCTCCAGAAAGAGAATTGAGAACTTTGCAGCAAGAGGAGTGCAACTCCATTTTTTACAGTCTTTTAGTTATGACGTGTAATATACGTAAGAAACAAATTATACATTGTTTGGTGTAACGATTTATTGTAAATTTTCGACCTGCACTCATTATTGTTTTGTCTAATACGAATGCCGATCTGGACCTGCCTTAGCACAAAATATAACGACGTAATGCAGTTAATTTCCAACTACAGCCGACCTAATAAACAGCTTTTTTGTGCATTGACCGGAGATGAGGATATTTCCACAGACAACGATGACTCAAGAATAATGTTATTTTTTTATGTCCACAAAAAACGTTAACATATGTTTTCCATATATGATTAATAAAACGACAATAAATCAATAAATGGTGTATACACTTTATTGTGCATAGTTAACAAAAAACACCCGTTTTTTATACAATTTAGTGCAAGACAGGGGCAGCTCGAGATTTGAAAAATTCGCCAGAAATAGAAGCAAAAACTTGTTAACTCAATAACCACTATTTATTGTGTGAAAATATATATTTCTCAATTGGTGTTCTCTTTTCAATGTTCAGTCGAAACAATAATTTCATAAACACTTTTTTCTAATTTACTCGCAGTTGGTAAAAACGGAGCTGCACCGCTTTAGCTTCAAGGTCCTCAGTTGTTATTCAGTTTATACAGGGTATTTTAGAAAAAATAGAGCGTATGTGTCACTCGATGTACTCATAGTCCCTCAGAAAAATAAGACGACAATTGTTATTTAGTACATATGTACAAGGTGTTCCAGAAAGATGCGAAAGTACTTATTGAGTGTATACTTAGAGAGTTCTACGTTGCGATATTTTGAAGTAATTAACACAGGGTGTCCCGGACAAGGGAGAAGATTTTCGATCCTTTTAACAACCATTTTCTTGACTACTGTTCGTAGTTGCAACCGTGTACAAAGCTTGGGAGTGAATTTGTGGTCAGAAAGAAGACTCGTATTGGCCACGTGGTTGCTATTTACGTGGTCGCGAGATGGCAAATTTTGGGGTGATGCAACCTGTTGCAATAAATCGTGTTTACGATAACTTAATTCTCGGCAGGCGGTTTACGACGCCATTGACTACCGGAAGTCGAGGAGATGTCGCTACCTTTTCGTCACAAAATTGCATCACCGAAAATTTCGTACATTCCAATATTATTTTTCATTATTATTATTAATATTATTACTATTTCGTTACTGTTATTATTATTACTATTTCATCTCTATTACTATTATCTAATTTTTATAGAATTTGAAGTAGATCAATTCATATGTCTTACGAATACATTTATCGGTCACGTTGTACGACAATTCGGTATACGTATGTATTTAAATATCCTTTTCTCCAGGCGCCATGTTGACTGGTGAAACGTGTAGCATGAGGCAGAGCGGGGTGATTCGATTAGAAAGACTTCCACGTATCCATTTCCTCTGACCGAAAGAAAAATCATTTGGAAAATAATTAACTGGCGGGGACGAGCTCATTACGCGGCTTAATTAGCTGCCACTGGTATCCGTGTTTCTTCTCCCTAAAGGCGGCCATGGGAAAAGCAACACCGCTGGGCTGAGAGAATCGGTCACCGAATTATGCTCAATGCCTCACACCGTGGAGGGAGCGCAACTTCTATTAACTTTCCCCGCCTCCGGTTCCCAGTTGGGCCCGTTTCCTGAAATACTCTTTCGCTGGAAGTGAAAATGGACCTCGTTGCCGCATAGAGAAAATGGATCCTGTGCCGTATACAATAATAGGTTCATGGAAGTTCGATACTTCGAACGAATTAGAGAACTATTCGTAAACCTTCGATTAAATTTGGTCCGCGTCATTCGACCAGTTTTTTAAATTATAGTTCTTAGGGCCATCGAGGATATGTATGTATCGCGCAATTCCACATCTATTCACAGTTTCATCCGGCAATTCCACGTGTTTTCCATAACTTATCAAACAGTTCAACGAGTAGTCAAATTCTACGTTATTCTACGCGATGTCTCTCTGTTTCTACGCAATTCTGTACTTTGTCCAATTTTAAATAATTCCACAACCTTCGTGTTTTCTCCACCCCCAGGCAATTCCACGCGTGACCAAAATTTCTCTCGGCAATTCCGTGTCTGGTTAATCTCTGTGTTAATCTACGTTCTCTCTTTATTCCTGCGCAATTCTGCACTTTGTTTACTTTTTCGAACAATTCCACAACCTTCGTATGTTCTCCGCTACCGAGCAATTCCACACAAGCGCGAGGAAGGTCGAAGGAAAATGATAACGCGGGATGTTAGAGGAAGTAGATAGAGGCTGAACATGGCGAAAAGGTTGAACATCTGTTCTCTGTCTTTTCCTACTAAATCACCGCAATTTC